TCTACGGCTATCAGCACTGTCCAAATCTGTGCTCTCTTTGACACTTATTATTGTGTTTTCCAGATGGAGCACCCTCATCTTACTTTGTTGCACAGGGAGAATTTCATTTGGAGTTTGTCAAGTTTTACCCTCCTGGAACCATACATCAGTGTATTGGATGGAGATCCTCTTCAGGAGGTTGTGAAGTCTGTCATTCATCAGTATAAGATCTCTGTGCTCCCCAAACACCCCAGTTTCCGCAAGTGTGAGTATTATATTGACTTATGGACTCTCTACCAAAATCTTTTCACTTTCCTGTGACATGTGCTTTTTATTATATAGTCACTGAGTACATTTTTTAAATTTAAGTATAAATGCACATACACTGCCTCTTATCATGTTCGCATATTTAAACACACAGATAATGGACCTGGTCATACAGACAAACCTTCCATTAATACATTTGACACCTTGGACAAGGGCTTCTTATTGAAGGCTTGTCATTAGAGTCTGGATATGTTTTTTATTCTCTATCTTATATACACAATTTAGTTGTTAATAGATGTTAAACTCATTCTTATACAGTTTTACACTACCAGTCAAATGTTTGGACACGCTTTGCTACTGTAACTTCAGTGGGACGGTACCTAGTTAAATGCAAGTTAAACTGTCACTGTATACATGAGTGGTAATGCATTCTGGTTACCATACACTGTATACATGAGTGGTAATGCATTCCGGCTACATTAACAACATTTTATTCATTTCCTTTGTAAGGCATTAACCATGGTGATTTCAATGACCTCAATATACTCGTGCAACCTTGTGAGAGCGACGGCTACAGGATTTCTGGCATCCTTGACTTTGGGAACTTGAACAGTGGCTACTACATCTATGAGCTAGCCATCACTGTCACCTACATGATGATAGAACACCCTAGACCCATTGAGGTGGGTGGACCTGTCCTCGCAGGCTGGGAAAGTGTTCTTCCCCTCAATGAGGCAGAGAAAGAATGTCTATATGTGCTAGTGCTGTCCCGTTTCTGCCAGTCGTTGGTTATCGCTCGTTACGCTGTGACCTTGAATCCGGAAAATAGGGAGTATCTGATGACTACCTCCAAGAAGGGAGTCCACATTCTCCATCAACTGTGGGAGCTTGGAAAGGAGCACGTGGAGAAGGTGTGGTTTCAGAGTGCTGCTCAGTTCAGTGATGGAAAGTGAGAAATATGTGAGAAAACATTTCTTAATGAATATGATTTAACTCAGCCTTTGAAACAAATCAAGTATAATTTTAAGATCAGATTATATCTGTCTAGCACATTCATGTATCTCTGTGAACAGAATTTGATGTTTGTGGAGCAGGAAGGTTCACATAACATCTTTAAAGATACTAAACTCAGGAGCGTCTGGGTCCTCACAAGATACATGGGTGCCATGTGTCTGTACTGTAGGTATATTTAGTATATACTGTAATTTGTGCTGGGAATGAAGTGTGGAGGAGTAGGAAACCTAAGCTACACTGCAACAGTGTCCAATGTTTCCTTTCTGAAAGATCTTGTGCCTCAAGTAATTTTAATCTGTTAGCAAAGCAAGCAGTGAAATTTGATCCTCAGCTCACACATCAGATAAATTGTAAGAACTGGGTTTAGACTGGCAGTTGTGCACAGAATATGAAATTCTGTTTTGCTTGGAGATTGACTTCAAATCTTGAAATGTGTTTCTAATGTTTTACTCTGGTCCAGATGTTAATCATTTACTACTTTTATACCATTCCAATTATCTCAATAAACAAAAGAACAACTTCTTAAACGGTCTGTAGCCTTTTTGTATGCATATTTAAAGCATGTATGACTAAAACAATTTTTTTCCAAACTGAAAAAGGCTTAAAATTCAGCCAGTGGCGACCAAAAGAGGTTGCCGGGGTTAGGATTACTATGGGGAAAAGGAATCAGGGCTGTATGGGATGAGGATGGTGTGTGCTGTGTGTATCTGACTCAGGTGAAGTGGATGCAGGGAAGAGTACGTGTGTGTGAGTCTGGCTGAGGGAAGGTGAAGCACCGGGACGTAGCTGGAGGAGTGGAGAACAGTGGGCGTGGCGGTGGAATACAGGTGGAGTGGAAGAGGCAGTTAGGGAGCACGGAGAGAGGCGTTCACTCAGCTGGAGAGTAAACAGGAAGGAGCCACTGCAGTCAGGGGGGTATAACACTCACGGAGCACAACAAGCAGAGTACACTCAGCTGGACGGAGGGACCGAGCTCCAAAGGCTGCCACAGCCAGTTGCTGCGACCACTGTGTGAGTGGGCGCTAAAATGCCAACATTAGTATGTGCATTGTGGCATGTGGCAAAGATAAGTGTCAGTGCATGTGGAAAAAAATCCTTTTTTTTTCACTGATCAAATGTCAGAAAATAAGGACAAAGGCCCATCATAGGTTTCAAGAGTCCAAATGTAATCTTTTATTTGCTATTTGGTTTGGAAACGCAACATCAAGAATAACATTTCTAATGAGAAGAGACAAAGAAAAGCTATAAATCCACTACACAGTTACTGCAAAAACATATTCTTTTTCTCATGATCACTTGTTTTCATGTAGCATTAATGTCGAAGAAGCATTCAAAGCCAAACTTCAGCCAATCTCAGGCGTCTGAGATGGTGAAGAGGCTCTTCAGGTTAACACCATCAGAAATTCACTCCCTGCCCAGCTATAGTGACCAGAACTTCTACGTGGCGGCCGTTGAGGGTGGCGAGTACATCCTGAAGATCATGAACTCAGAGCACACTATGAACCCCAACCTGATTGAGGTGCAGACATATGCCATGTCCTTCCTGCAGCAGAACGGACTCCCTTGCCAGACAGTCCTGCCTACTAGCTCAGGACATCTCATGAGTCTGGAAGAAATGGGTATGAGACCAACCACGCAGTTCAGACCTGAGGAATAATGTAGTTTTAATAATGTCCTTTAATTAAGCTGGAGAAATAAAGTAGATCTACACATTGTATATCAGACAACCGCATTTGTAGACTAGAACAACCTCCACAGCTCTGTTTCTCACAACAGTCTTGGAGTCACTGTTTGTCAGTCAGGTGTATATTAAATTCATTTTGTTTTGATTGAAATCCAAATATTTCATAATACTTTGCCAACATTCATTTATAAATTACTTGTACTACTGCATACAATTTGCATGAAAAAAGTCATTTTAAATACTGTATATGGAAGTCAACTTAGAAATAAGAACAATTCACCAGGATGTAAACAAACACTTGACTATAATGATATTCTTTGATCCTTGAAGGGGAAAACTCATCATTTTACGTTTTACTCTACCACCTGCCACCTAATCATGGGTCCAAATGCAGTTTGGAGGTTTGTAGAAAATCTGGCAGCTTCTATAAGATATATTATCCATTGGCTCTGTATTGCATCTGTAAGCAAGACGTAAACAAACACTGGACTGTGATTGATATTCCTCAAAACAAAAACTACTGTACATTTTTAGACAGGTGCCCAGTAATATTTTTACTAATAAACACCAGCAATGATAAATTTGCCTTTGACTTGTAAAACGAAGCGTCTCTGTCGATACTTTTATTATGGTACCGTTAGTCGTATTTTGAAAACCCCTCCCAGATGTGTACTTGTTACATTCCGATAGTTTAACATCCATGGACAAACTATATGACCACAGTGGACAATACACACACCAGCTGCTGTTTTCAACGACTTGAGGTAGGACTGCTGTCCTGCATATCATGTTTTACTGGCCGTTATGACACTTGGCTTTGGCCAGGCTATCGTTATTTTATTATAGCTTTATAAGCCAAGGCTTGGGACTATGGTCCTAATAGGTTTTGCTCTGGGCATAACGTTATGACAGGACTGTGGGCAGACTGAAACTTCCCATAGATATGTTTGCTCTTACTGAACCTCACCAACTCCAACCAGTGCGACCCCTGCCTGCTCCCGAGTCTTAGTGTGTAATGCTTACTGATTTGTTATGCAGGATATTGAATAAAAGAGCTCATCATTTATCTATTTCTGAGTGTCATTTCATAATTAAGGAAACATATTCAGTCTCCGTATGTCAGCAGGTTATATATATATTTTTAACTCTTAACACTCTAGTCCGATTTTGCGAAGCCACGTCTGCGGTGTCTGTAGGGATCTGCCGTTAATGGCGGCCATTTATTGTATCCAGTGTGTTATCAGTGTGATTCCGACGTACTGGTAGATGATTCGAATGAAAAGGTCAAATATAAGTGTCCGTGCATGTGGAAAAAAGTCTCAGTAGTAGGGTAATTTTGTTGTTGTTGTTGTTGTTGTTTACAGTACTGACCTCAAACCTTTATGACGTTAAGGAGCAACATTTTTCCTTTTTTATTCACTGATCAAATGTCAGAAAATAAGGACAAAGGCCCATCATAGGTTTCAAGAGTCCAAATGTAATCTTTTATTTGCTATTTGGTTTGGAAACGCAACATCAAGAATAACATTTCTAATGAGAAGAGACAAAGAAAAGCTATAAATCCACTACACAGTTACTGCAAAAACATATTCTTTTTCTCATGATCACTTGTTTTCATGTAGCATTAATGTCGGAAAAGCATTCAAAGCCAAACTTCAGCCAATCTCAGGCGTCTGAGATGGTGAAGAGGCTCTTCAGGTTAACACCATCAGAAATTCACTCCCTGCCCAGCTACGATGACCAGAACTTCTACGTGGCGGCCGTTGAGGGTGGCGAGTACATCCTGAAGATCATGAACTCAGAGGACACTAAGAACCCCAACCTGATTGAGGTGCAGACATATGCCATGTCCTTCCTGCAGCAGAACGGACTCCCTTGCCAGACAGCCCTGCCTACTAGCTCAGGACATCTCATGAGTCTGGAAGAAATGGGTATGAGTGTTAAATTCATTTTGTTTTGACTGAAATCCAAATATTTCATAATACTTTGCCTACATTCATTTATAAATTACTTGTACATTTGCCTATAATTAGCATATTTTAAATATGTGGCAGTCAACTTAGAAATATGAACAATTCCCCAAGATGTAAACAAACACTGGACGGTGATGATAATGCTCAAACAAAATACAAATACTGTACATTTTTAGACAGGTGCCCGGTAATATTTTTACTCATAAATACCAGCAATGACAAGTTTTCCTTTGAGCAAGGCCAGAACATGCACGTCACGCTGTATGAGCACTAAGAGCAAGGGAAAGGGCAGTTATACTAATCCTGTCTTTACCTTTGGCAGACTGTGGCTATGGTTGTCAGAAGTACCTGGTGCGGCTGTTGACTTATTTGCCTGGAACCACTATTTCCAAAGTTCCTTTAACACCACAGCTACTGTATGAAACCGGCAAGACAGCAGCCAGAATGGACACAATCCTACAAAAGGTATAATAGTAACACCACTGTGAAACTTCCAGATCATTTGATTTGTTTTCTTATACCATCAAGTATAAGTATAAAATCATTTCAGTTCACTATCATTTGCATAGCATTTTAAAATAATAACAGTAATTAATAATAGTTGCGGAAATAATATTGATAAAAGTAGTGAAATAACATTTGCACTACTGTCCATGTGCATCTCAATCTCACAACCATCTGACAATCTTCTTCTTTTTATTTGCCCTACTGTCACTGATTGTACATGGTTTGAGTCATAGCCTATTAGGTTGTACTGTGTAGTTTTATCCTAATCACTTTGGATTAGTTTTCTTAGTCGTTTTAGTCTATTTTTACTCTACTTTATTCTACTTTAGTTTCCTAAATGGTATGGCATTCAATAGTAGGTGAGAGAGAAATGGCATTTCGCTTTTTTGCATGTCCTGCACATATAGTGAACTGACAATAAAAATCTTTGAACTTGATCTTGAAACAACATAAATGTTATGGTTTGCAGTCTTTCTTCCTGTTTGGTGCTTTTATTTTGGTTAGTTTCCTGTTGGTTGCTGGTTCATTTGGTCTCCATGCCTCATTGCCCCCATTGTCTCTGTATCTACTCACCACACCCTGCCTGTTCCCGTGGCTCAGTAAGTGTCTCCTGATTTGTTTGGCACTCGAACTGTCGGTCCCTTTCCCTTGCCTCACCTATGGACCCTGCACTTACCTGCCATCTTGGACTTTGGTTTGTCCCAGTAGCTTTGTGTGTTTTCAGTTTATTATAGAGCTCACTGACTGTACAGTTCAGTGTTGCTTTGTCAGTTCGAGCCCCCTTAGTTCTACTTGTTTCTTTGTTCCGTATCATTTATATTAAAATGGACTATATACTGTACCTCAGTCTGTGTCTCCTCCCTAAGCCTGAATCTAACAATAAATAATATTTGATAGATGGACAGACATTCACATTGGCAACCTGCACATCATTATGCTTCATATACATCATTATAATTCCATATTTCCTTCCTCATTTGGAGGGCTGTTTTCTGCTGACATCCCCTTTTTCACATACAACTGTCAAATGTTAAACACACATCATGTTAAATGAACATGTTAAATTTTGATTACTTATTATGAAATCTTCACTCATATTTTTAAACATTATAATCACTTTTAGCAGTAACCAAATGAACCTATTAGACATATTTGATAAACCAAACACTTATTTCCAGACATGATCTCATCTTCATTATAACTTCTTCACATTTTATCTTCAACAAAACCGTCATACAACAGTACATCACATTAGCAACCAACATTTATAAGATCACAAATCATTGCTGATAATGTTTCAGTATTTCACTAGTTAAAAAAATTGCTTAAAAGATTTCCTCCTCCATCTCATCTTACTATTGCTCTTGAAGTTCTGAAGTCTAGTCCATGGACCTGCTCAGGTTTTCCTCTTGGTGTGATTGATGGTTTTGATTTGATTTGATTTGATTTATTCTTTCAAACATGTAACAACAGTCAATATGTCAACACACATAATTCCACACATATCCACAAATATATTTTCAATTTGCTTATACCTAGTACATGCTTGAACGGAGTAGGAAGAAGTTAGACTTATCTAGTCCTACCCCATAACATCATCTTATCATCATTGGTTTGCAAGCAGTATTACTACATGGATAATTTTGTTCTACACCACGCTAGTGATATACTAAAAACACCACACTCCCAATGTTACACCTGATTAATCGTTAAGCCTGTTCTTGCCCATATCTTGATTGACACATACCTTTATATTTGTGTTTAAACTCATCAATTTTCTTACTGTTTTTTATGTCCACACTTAAATTATTCCATAGTTTTACCCCACTTATGGAAATACAGAATCAACCCTTGTCTCTTCGTGTAGGCTCACAACATTCCTGCCTTCTACGGCTATCAGCACTGTCCAAATCTGTGCTCTCTTTGACACTTATTATTGTGTTTTCCAGATGGAGCACCCTCATCTTACTTTGTTGCACAGGGAGAATTTCATTTGGAGTTTGTCAAGTTTTACCCTCCTGGAACCATACATCAGTGTATTGGATGGAGATCCTCTTCAGGAGGTTGTGAAGTCTGTCATTCATCAGTATAAGATCTCTGTGCTCCCCAAACACCCCAGTTTCCGCAAGTGTGAGTATTATATTGACTTATGGACTCTCTACCAAAATCTTTTCACTTTCCTGTGACATGTGCTTTTTATTATATAGTCACTGAGTACATTTTTTAAATTTAAGTATAAATGCACATACACTGCCTCTTATCATGTTCGCATATTTAAACACACAGATAATGGACCTGGTCATACAGACAAACCTTCCATTAATACATTTGACACCTTGGACAAGGGCTTCTTATTGAAGGTTGTCATTAGAGTCTGGATATGTTTTTTATTCTCTATCTTATATACACAATTTAGTTGTTAATAGATGTTAAACTCATTCTTATACAGTTTTACACTACCAGTCAAATGTTTGGACACGCTTTGCTACTGTAACTTCAGTGGGACGGTACCTAGTTAAATGCAAGTTAAACTATCACTGTATACATGAGTGGTAATGCATTCCGGCTACATTAACAACATTTTATTCATTTCCTTTGTAAGGCATTAACCATGGTGATTTCAATGACCTCAATATACTCGTGCAACCTTGTGAGAGCGACGGCTACAGGATTTCTGGCATCCTTGACTTTGGGGACATGAACAGTGGCTACTACATCTATGAGCTAGCCATCACTGTCACCTACATGATGATAGAACACCCTAGACCCATTGAGGTGGGTGGACCTGTCCTCGCAGGCTGGGAAAGTGTTCTTCCCCTCAATGAGGCAGAGAAAGAATGTCTATATGTGCTAGTGCTGTCCCGTTTCTGCCAGTCGTTGGTTATCGCTCGTTACGCTGTGACCTTGAATCCGGAAAATAGGGAGTATCTGATGACTACCTCCAAGAAGGGAGTCCACATTCTCCATCAACTGTGGGAGCTTGGAAAGGAGCACGTGGAGAAGGTGTGGTTTCAGAGTGCTGCTCAGTTCAGTGATGGAAAGTGAGAAATATGTGAGAAAACATTTCTTAATGAATATGATTTAACTCAGCCTTTGAAACAAATCAAGTATAATTTTAAGATCAGATTATATCTGTCTAGCACATTCATGTATCTCTGTGAACAGAATTTGATGTTTGTGGAGCAGGAAGGTTCACATAACATCTTTAAAGATACTAAACTCAGGAGCGTCTGGGTCCTCACAAGATACATGGGTGCCATGTGTCTGTACTGTAGGTATATTTAGTATATACTGTAATTTGTGCTGGGAATGAAGTGTGGAGGAGTAGGAAACCTAAGCTACACTGCAACAGTGTCCAATGTTTCCTTTCTGAAAGATCTTGTGCCTCAAGTAATTTTAATCTGTTAGCAAAGCAAGCAGTGAAATTTGATCCTCAGCTCACACATCAGATAAATTGTAAGAACTGGGTTTAGACTGGCAGTTGTGCACAGAGTATGAAATTCTGTTTTGCTTGGAGATTGACTTCAAATCTTGAAATGTGTTTCTAATGTTTTACTCTGGTCCAGATGTTAATCATTTACTACTTTTATACCATTCCAATTATCTCAATAAACAAAAGAACAACTTCTTAAACGGTCTGTAGCCTTTTTGTATGCATATTTAAAGCATGTATGACTATGTTGGTGTTACCAAAAAAACCCCACAATTTTTTTCCAAACTGAAAAAGGCTTAAAATTCAGAAGCAGAGAAATACCTACTAGAAATGCTAATGAGATAGACTATCATAACCATGGAAGAGGTTACTGGAGCTAGCTTTATATTCAGTGTGATGTGCTGTGTGCTAATACTGGATGTCAAAACAATACTTTCAACAAGCACTATGATGTGACATCAACATGCAGACCAGTGAATCCAGGTTATGACACCAAGCTGTAACATAGGAGACGTTAAACATTAGACAAACAACATGAGCCAAGTGAGACCAGGTTGTGTCTGCATGTTATTTATGTGTCACCAGTTTAAAATGTACAGTGGCCGTACATTAGTAGGTTATAGCATGGTTGCTTTAAAACAAATCTATTTGAATAGAATAAATGAAGGTTAAGTGTAGTCTTCCCTCTGTTTGATTCACCTCCATGACTTTTAGAAACTAAAAAGTCTATGGAAGAACTGATCCCACTGTGTTCAGCACAAACCTTCATTCAGTAAAATAAACAGTAATATACATGTGCATTTTATAAAAAATAAGTGCATTTTTATATGTGTGTGTGTGTGTGTGTGTGTGTGTAGGAATGAGCTTTAAAAACATGTTAGATTTATAGTTTTTCTACTACACTGTTTTCATCTTTAGAGTAACACTGCCTTTGTGTGGTCATCATGAGATCCTGCATCCAAATGAGGCTGCATGGCTTTTCGTAAAATTTTAAAACATGAACTTGTAAGTGCACCAGGTATTTACAGTAGGACTATGGCCAAAAGCAAATAATGTACAAGATTTCCATGTTTAGACTAACACTGCCTTTGTTTGTAAAACATATCACGCTGATGCTAGAATTTAAATTTACATCCCTGCCAGGCCACAACTGGTAATTCAGGTAATAGATATAAAAATGCAGGAGACCTTTTGTTCTGCAGCAGACGGAGGTGAGTGGGGAACATTTGATTGGGTCAAGGTTGTTGTTTTTTTCTTGCTTTATTTACTTGAATCCTGTTGCTGTGCTTCATAATGCACCTCCTTTGTGTAGTGCAAAACAGTGATGTGAGGTGTTCTGTTACAGAGAATGTTAAACACTAGATGGAGACATCACCCCATTTATTCCATGTCCTGCATTAAACGCTCACTTTGTGAAGCAGTGTTTCATACTCACATTCAGGCTGAAAACACTTTGATCCCTTGTTAGAAGACAACTACAGTAATTTGTACAGTTCTGTTGTCAGAATTATGGAGGGGTCGCATATTTAATGTTAAGTCCTATAATATTCAAAATAGTCCATCTTTACATGTTTTCAAAACAAAAAAAAACTTGAAGTGAAAAATAAACATTTGTAATATGAATAAGAAGATGCTTAAAGAGTCTTGTTTGAACAAAATAAAGGAACCATTGCTCATGAGACAAAATCTGCCTCTGAGCTCAGTAACAGTTTCGTTATTCTGAGGAAACCAGCTGTTGTTGCTTGGAGAAAAATGCACAACTGCAGATAAACTGTCAGAATAGCACTTTTTTCCTTCTCTGTATTTCAGTATAAAGTGCTGCGGTGTCACAAACACCTCAGCTAGAGCCATATGCCACACTTCACACACACACACACACACACACACACACACACACACACACACACACACACAAACACAAGCATGTCTTTAGCAATCTAGTTGTGCGGACACTCACTGACATAATGCATTCCCTAGCTCCTTACCCTCATTGCCTGCCCCCAACCTTTACTCTAACCTGAACTCTAAAACCAGGTTTTAACCCTCAGGAAGCTACTTGATGTTATGAGGACCAGGTAAAATGTCCTCACAATACTAAAATGATATTGAACCAAAAATTTGTCCACACAAAGATGTGCACATACACACGCCCACGCACCTTTCTACCTTTCTACATTTCAACCTCCCACCTCAAAGACACCATCTGTCTTCTGCCCCTGCTGCAGCTTGTGGTATGTACCTCCAGTCATGCAGAAAAAGTCACAGTGTGCATCTGTGAATGTCTGCCTGTGTTCACATTTGTTCTCCGTCTGTTTCACTGTCGTTCATTCGACAGGCATTTGAGAATAGCAAGCCCAAAGAGGCACTTCTGAACCTCCTCTGTCTTCCTCTCTCTCTTCTGCCTTTTCTCTTGAATCTGTGTTCTACAAATTAGAGCTGAAATAGAAATGGCAACACTCAAAGGACTTAACTTAATACACCAACCCCACTTATCGGTGCCATTAATCCTCTTGGCATTTCAAAACAGAGAGCTGGGTCTATGCTGCACCTTTTTTACAATACAGCAGAGAAATTTAATTTACACTCTAAAGGCAGTCAATCTGCAGGCTTTTTAAAGAGCGAATTAACTGTTTCATAAAAAGATGCTGCACCCATTGTTGAGCGTCTTGAATGACTTTTCAAGTAGAAAGGCAAGATTTTAAAAGTTAGGTAAACAACTGTCAAGGCACTAACAGCAAAGGCCTAGCGATATTATATTCATTGTTTTCAAATATGGTTGTATTGCTAACAGCAGATTTCAATTACATTGCACACATTGTCTATTCAGTTTTCCAAGCATACATTCATGCAATATAAAATAAAATTACAGCTTTTTAATTTTTTTTTTTTTTTTTTTTACAAAGGATCCAATATCTCTAAACAAAACAGAGAAAAAGTTGTGATGTGTCCACTTGCCAATCATAAGATGTTTTCTCTATCGCCAAGCTAATTCCCATTATTTCTGTGGCTGCGGTTCACCTCCTCTGGGTCGTTTGTCATATAAATTAGGAATTTAAACCATGAATGTTGCAATGCATTGGTTGAGTGGAAACATATTCTGGAAGCCTCATTTATTTTCTTCACCAAAGAGCACAGGGACACTATGTTCGTATACTATAGGTATAGACCACCTCTACCTTAGATCACCAACTCCATCCCTAAGAAACTAATTTACATTCTTTTAGAAGATTAATAGTAACTTTTGTATTAAAGGGCTGGATAGTTTAGGAATGAGAATAAAAAGTACATTAAACAAGTCCTCTCACCTTGTGGCTTGGTCATGTCTTTGTTTCATTGAGAGCAACTGTTAAGTGTGCATTTTTAATATGAGTTTGTTAGACACACAGCTCTTGGCTGTGTTTGCAGGCCTTTGCTGCTTGCCAAGCCGACCTGTTAGGACTTATTCGCTTCATGGATCCTGACAGACTTTCGTGTAATGCATGTAAGCTTTACGCCTGGGTGATCTATAGCAGCCAAGATGTCAGAGTTTGATGCAAGGCTAATAGGCCTCTGTTAACAAAGATGTTTCTCATCTATCGGCAGTTTGGAAAGTGTTTTAACAGCTTTTACACAAAAGTGTGTGTCCATTACTTAATTATATTGCACTTTCAGCATTCAGTTAGCATTTATTGAACAGCTTTGCTTACTAAGATTCCATTATCACATCATTGTAAACAAGTGAGGCTGAATTATTTATTTTCTTCATCTTATCAGTATTCAGAAACACTTAAAAAAAAACATTTTAAAATAATTTTTATACTAAAATGGAATACTTTAAAGAACAAGTCACCTGTAAAATGTGACCACTAGGTTTAATAACAACAGCATTCAGGCACTAAACAAAAGGGATTCTGCTCACTATTGGGAGTAAAGCTGGGATGAGACAGAGGTCTCAATTAGCAAGCTGCTGCGTTAGCTCAGTGGCTTCTCCAGTCTTATCAGTTGGTTTCAGGGCATCTGTGCTTTGCAGATGGATGCTGGCCTCAGTCTTCTATCCAGAGCTGTTCCCCATCAGACCCTGAAAAAGCTGACCAATGGGGGAGTGAAAGTAAGCCATCAGTATGGAGTCATTAAAACTTTTGCACATTATCACATGTTGGTTTTCAGTGGACGTCTCTGTAACAAGCGCCATTGCGGCCTATCTGCACCGAACAGGTGGGAAGCACAGCGGCTCAGGGGTCCAACATTAGGGAGGCGCTTAGAGAGGGGTGTCTAATCGATTGGACAGACTGGATTTACTGAGTCACAGGGTGAGTTTGGAGGCAAAGGAGGAGCTCTCTCTCTCTCTCTCTCTCTGTGTGTGTGTGTGTGTGTGTGTGTGTGTGTGTGTTGGAGGAAGAAGAGGAAGGTATCCAATTCCACAGTGAAACTGACTAGGCAATTTGTCAGAACAAGGTAGTTCCCTTTGGAAAGTACTAAGTACAGGATTTTTTGTTGTAATAATTAACTGATTCAATATTACCTTATGCCAGCACACCACAAATGGCACTGCAGAATTTACTTACATACCGTGGTAAAAAGCAGGCAGGAAAATATTAAAAAAACTTGGTTGCTGGAGCTAACGTGGCTAGCCAGGTAACATCATTCATTCATTTTCATTTTCTACCGTTTGTTCCCTGAGCAGGGTCACAGGGGGGGGGGCGGAGAACCCACACAAGCACGAAGAAGAACATGCAAACTCCACACAGAAAGGTCCCAGGTGGGGCCCGAACCTGGAACCTTCTTGCTGTGAGGCAACAGCGTGTTCCACCATGCTGCCTGGTAACATCAACCACACAAATTTAAAAAAGCCATAAAAACAAAAATGAAACAAAACCTCCATTTCATGTGTCATCTGTCCTCCTTTATGCACTTGGCCTACTATGACAAAACAAATATCACAAATTTTAGATTTTGTTCTGGGCAAAACAAATGTGGTAGCATCAGATTCTACCAAGAAGAGAATGCATCCTTTTTGCTAAAGTTGTCTTTGTCTCATAACACTGGTGCACCAACAGTGTGTTTCACTATTGTCAACTGGATCTGTTAAGTTTTTATTTACACATTAAACTGTACAGCAGCTTTCGTTACTTTTATTTCTCTTTAAGAAAGGTGGAAAACAGTGTTTTCATAGTACTTATAAATGAAATGACTATAGATCAAGAC